GGATGGGCGGCGCTGCAGAAGAGCAGTGAAGCGATCCAATTCAGCAAGAAGGGAAGTAGAGTCTGGGTCATCGAGGGCAGCGCCTTGGGGGAAGGCGATCTCGTCCATGTCCCAGTTACCATCCATGAAATCAACACCACCAACGGCTGAGTCGACTTGACTCACTTTGTAGCCGTTCCGAGGCAATGGTAGAAGCAAGGTTCCGTTTACATGGGCTGCCGCGACCTTCAATGTGTAAAGACGAGTGGAAACAAGGTGTTATAGGGGAAACGACATTAGGGGTAACTGCCTATAATGGCAGAAGCTTGATTAAGAACGATGTAGACCATCGGGCAACGTACTCAAATCACTTAAAAAGGCAGGTTGCGTTTGACATAGGCGTTCAAGTCCACAAACAGTGTTTTAGGGTCAGTTTGTTGTATGCTCAGTTTACAGACGAAACGCACTTTCAAGAGATCGTAAAAACATGTTACCTGTTCTTAATAAACTGACCTGGGAAGCACTGGGGCTTTCAAAGTTGTAAGGAAAACTCCAAGAGGCACAAGCTATGCTTCTTTCGGTCACCATACGATGCGCTCCGTACAAGTAAGCCGAAAAATTCGGTACCGTCAGGAGAGTCGGCGGTCTTTGGACTTTACCCTCATTTCCTTCGACTTAAAACAAATAAAAAAACAGACATTAGTCAGCCAGTGACACAGTGAATGACGCCACGTGTATTCATGCAGGTAACAGTGCCTATAATTTCACATGTGAAATATTGGTTTTACATCAGGATGATTTATTACGATACCCTGTACACTTAAAATGCGCGGTAAAGTAATTAGTCGTGTTTAAAATGTATAGTAAAGCCGTCCACCAAAACATGAAATATTTAGTAATTGTCGCAATCTTTGAACAAAATGAGTAATGCGAGTTTTCTGGAAAACGTTGTTTACTAAGATACACTAAACGGTCGAAGTGGGTTACAATCGAAGAGGAGGTAAAGAGGAAAGCACAAGTCTTAATGGGCACGATACATTCACAGAGATAAAGAGCTGTAGTTGAATACTTTGCCGTCGGCAAACCTACTACAGTAGTCGCCGGCTATTAAGCCCACGGTTAATAAGCCCACCGCTTATTAAGCCCAATTTGGTCTGGGCCCGAGGTGGGCTTAGTAGCCGGCGACTACTGCAATTATGTGTAGGATCCAGCAGGACAAAGGGATTGATCCTTGTTTAAATACGTCGGCGCGGTTAATTCGAGTCTAGTAAGAGATTTGTAGGTGCTGTGCCCTCACAGTTAATTTGTGTATTAGTTGTCCCCTCCCTGGCGGCGGTCTTCTCTGTAGACAGCTGCTCTTCCTACGAGGACCCCACGAAGTGTTCCCTTCTCCGGTGGCAGCCTTCAGGTCACCTTCCCCTGATTATCTTCTTCAGTTATATGTGATCACTTATGTGACAGTTTATTAATATACCGATGTATCCGTAAGTAATATATGTGTGTGGTAACGTCTGCCTCGGTTTCCCATCTCTGTGAATGACCGTTACCATGATCAAGCATTCCAGTTATCGGACATGTATTTAATTGAGGTGACTTGGGAGATTTGAGTACGAGCGGGTCCCCAACAGCCGCACGGATTGGTTGTTCGAGGTTGTCTCCTCTAGCGCTTTGGCTCAATAGCCTAACCACAAGG